CGTACTGGGAAGTAGGTAGGTACATCTCTTACCGTCGCGTCGCTGCCTACAAACACTAGGATATTTTATTATTATGCGCAACACCTCGACGTGTCCAGCATAAATGAAGATTAATATGTACTACTGATTGAATAAATCCCTGTTTGATATGAGTATGTTGTTTTCCTGGCCTACCGAATCAAATAAATACTAAATACAGGGTGATTTTCTACTTATTCAAAAAAATTTGGGGATAGACGAGTCGTGAAAAATGGTCAATATAAATATCGTAAAAAAAAATTTTGTAAAATCTTTATAATTTCCGAGAAAAAAAATATTGAAGTTGTAGTATTTTCAACCTTTAAATCGCTGGGCTACTGTAGTCTCTAGCGTGGTCTACTAGTCTCTAGTAGAATCGCCCACGTGGTTCGGGGCGATTCCGAATACTGAAATCCGATTTTAGTATACAGGGTGTTAATAATAAGTTTTGCCAAACTTTAATGGCGTATTCTACCGATAAAAATAATCAATTTTTACCCTATAAAAATTTTAGATAGGACGCTTCCCTACGGAGATACACGGTGTTAAAAGTTTCAAATATTTATATTATTTTTCCTGCAACTTCACTGGCATAAAAGATTGAGTGATAAAATTTGGGAGATGATATTTTTTTAGTGTGGACTATTTTTTCATGGATAACTTATTCCAAAATACACTCCGGTGGCGTTATTGGGGAAGTAGGGGACGCTTGAAACAGTTTTCCATGTCTTGTCTAAAAAGTCGTTCAGCTTGTCTAGCATTGCCATTGGCTCTACTGTATGTAAAATGCATATCTGCTAATTCAATATTTGTATAATTGAATGCCATATCTTTTTTATTAAAATCTGTTTTTAGTTGTATGAAAAATAACTTTTTTCGACATACAAAATAGTGACGTATGAAATCTCTCAAAAATATTAGGTATTCAATTTATTGTTACATATTTAGCAATCAATAGAAAATAGTAAATAGCAACGTAGGTACTTAAGTATCTTCTCATGTGACTTCCCAATTATCTAAAGACCAGTAAATTTTTCATTGCCACAAATTGACAAAATTTTTAACAAATGTTCTACGGGGTGAAAAATGTGAAATATAAAAGTTGCACGATTTTTTATGAATATTTCGAAAATGACATTTGAAAAACAAATGAAGGTCAAACAAAATGGCCGCGGATATTAACTTTGTTAATTTAAATGGAACACCCTGTATATTTTTACATATTTGGATAGAACGTTCCCTGTCGAGCATAATCATATAGGGTTTGGTGGGTCCACCTCTAACAATAAGCGAGATAATACTAAAAAATGAAGAGAAGGTTTTTTATTATGAAAATAAGACATTTTGTAATTGTTAGACCTCTTTCAGGAATATCTGCCGTTTTTCCAATTGCGTAAGGATTTACAGATTTAGTTGTAATATTTTGATATATCGCACATTGATACAGTCCAAAATGCGTATAGATATTTTACCTAAATCTCACTAATTAGGCCGTGTGAGGCCTATTTACTCATGGACAATGTTATATGGTAGGTCGTGACAGTGACAGGTAGTAATGTCATGACAACATTGTTATTGTTTGACAGTTTATATTATTATGTATTTAATTAAAATGGGTTACATAGAAATAGAAAATTGAAATATTATAGGAATTAAAATAGAGAAAGTTATTCTCCGTACTCAATTTTAATTCCTAATAATATTTCAATTTTCTACTTCTGTGTAGCCCATTTTTAATTAAATAATAATACAAACTGTCAGTCAATAACAATGTTATCATGACATTACTACCTGTCACTGTCACGACCTACCATATAATAACATTGTCCATGAGTAAATAGGCCTCTCACGGCCTAATTAGTGAGATTTAGTTAAAATACCTATTCTCATTTTGGATTATAATGTTCGATATGTCAAAATATATTACAACTAAATCTAAATCCTTACGTAATTGGAAAAAGCCAGAAATGCCTAACAGAGGTCTAACAATTACAAAATGTCTTATATTGTTAATAAAAAACCTTATTTTCGTTATTTAATATTTATCTCACCTATTGTTAGAGATGGACCCAACAAACCCCACATGACTATGCTCGACAGGGAACGTTCTATCCAAATATGTAAAAATATATAGGGTGTTCCATTTAAATTAACAAAGTTAACATCCGCGGCCATTTTGTTTGGACTTCATTTGCTTTTCATTACCATTTTCGAAAATTTCATAAAAAATTGTGTAACTTTAGTATTTCACATTTTTCTATAACTCTAAAAACAAAAAAGTTAATGGGGGGGTCAAAATATAGTGAATCACCCTGTACATCAGGTATGTCAAATTATTTTATTAATTAAAACCACAAATAAATTTTATAAATTAATAATAGCAATAGCGGCAAAATTAGTTGAATTTGCTGATATAAAATAGGTGTTATAAAATTTTATTTATTTCCTTCCTTGGGAAAGAAATTTTTCAGTTTTTTGTCCCTTTATGTTTTGCATGCTTTGCCTTGCGCAAGGTCAGGTTTTACGGTGAACCAATTTTCAGTGCCGTGCAAAAGTGTATTTTTAAATAATTTTCCACTGTACATTAAAAAATTTCACCCTGTATAGGCGAAAAATATCGTAGTCCTAGTATAATAGATCTTTGAACACATTTAACTGTAAAATAAAACCATACAAGTTAGAGCAAGCGATATATATAGGTATCCCCTAATAAATTTTAAAATGGATATATTTTGTTACGTCGATATTTTTAGGTAAGTACATCTAATTATTTATGTTTTGTTATATAAAACTATTGAAGCAGCTGTTAGAAGAATTAAACAGTGTTTCGCATTTATAGGTGTCGTTTTCGTAATAAAAGTTATATAGTTTGAAATTTTCTGTACAAAATATTAATTACTGCTAAACCAATACCACCGAGGTCACGCTGTATATGTTGAAATTATTAAAGGATGAAATTAGCAACAAAGAAACAGACACATGCATCTATCAAACTTTCTTTTACATAAAGAAACGATTTATCTACGGGCATGTCGGTTATGTAACTGGTATAGTATGGAAAAGAAGGTGATCTATTATGCTTTACGAAGGACGGAAGAGAAGAAAGTCTTTTACTTCCTCCTTGCTTCAAAACTCATTGGTTGCTTGATCATGCGGCTTAGAGATTGTGAACTACTATGCCTATGGTAATATCGCGATATTTGGCACAGCAGCTCGTTAGATGAAGTACCGCTTATGTAATTCTAACTTCCTATATGCAGATCAGGCGGAGAGATTGTCGGTCAAGTAGTGTATCTATAGTTGGTTTCGACATAGGAGGAAATGAATCAAAACATATTTTTTTAAGTAACTTTTTATCATCTAGCAAGTAAGGCAATGATGTAATTATGATTTATTTGGCGTCCTATTTAGCTTTGGATGTCACATGGCCATGCCAGATAACATTAAAATTGCTATCTTGTCTGCTGAGAGGACAAAACGTAAATTAAAAGCCCAATTAGGATGATTAAGCAATTTATCCATAATATTTTAGGTCACTTACATGGCAAGGTTATTAGATAACCTCGTATTCTGATTATAAGGTACCTAATAAAGAAATTACTACAAATTTCTCTCTTATTTTCTTATCACGACCCTCCACGAAATAATTGACTCTATGACTGGCGTCAAATATTCAGATACAGAATGTTTTGAAATGTTGCGGACTTTCAATTTTGTTTCATCCATATTTTTATGATAACTTGTCACTTTAAAATATATTTTAATAAAATTTGACGCGAGGGTTTTTGGGATAGCCATATATTTTTTACCTAAATCATAGAGGTTCACTAAGAACACCTCAAACAGTGATTTGTTTTTTCATATTTGTAGACATTTTTAGACAACGCAGATGTTTTTTGACATGCCATTTTATTTACTTCAAAGAACACGTGCTTCTTCCATGTCCCTAAGATTCACCGTTCCAGAGAAAAGTAAGTTTCAAATGTTTACAACAGTAATCAATTACTCACAGCCGAAGTATTTGAAGGATTTTAGTTTAATTAAACTTTTTTTTGCTAAATATGCAACTTTGGACGAACTTATCCGTATTCTGGCATAAAGCCCTGTGCTAATTTTGTATAGGTACTACATTTAAAAACCTACATCTGAGTAGTACGAATAAATGGTAAAAAAAATGTAATTCAACTTGGAATGTAACAGAAAAACTGTATAAGAAAACTCCAAAATACTCGGCTGTCCGTAACTGAGATTAGACGTCGGAAACTTTGTGACGACAATCACATGAATAAACAGTAGTAATCTATATTATGCTAGTAAGCGGTAATACGCGTTGTTGTTGCAGAAATATGCTAAATCTATGGTCCAGCCGTGTGCCGCTCTATGCTTACGATACACAATGCTACTGACTTCCATAAAAATACGTGCCTTACACTCGACCAAGCAAAGCGACTAACTCGTTTACGATGACGACAAGAATTCTGCACATGCTCTCTGTCGCCGTGCTTACTTAATGGTGAAAAGACACAAATCCTTAAAGACCTCTGTCACCTCCGGACGTAAGAGAGACTTCAAAGCTAGAAAATGCATTGACACAGAGCGCGAGCCTGTTTTAAAAACTCTTACCAGCGGCATGCACAATGGATCGTAAGACCTGAGTGCTGTTTCTTTGTTTTAGGTAAAAAATTAACTCGTGCCATCAAGTTTCATTGAAATATCATTACAGGTGATAGAATTATAAAAATAAGTGAAAAAAAAACAGGAAAAAAAGCTTTTGAAGACTGATAACTTTTTAAGGAAGCGAAATTGTTCTCAAATAACTTGATCTGTAAAAGCTGTCCTTGAGGTAAGGTTCATCTGTTATCGAATTCCAATTCTTGTTTTCTTTTTTCATTATTATAGCGATCACGATAATGAATAGATACGTAAAATACCTTTGCATTTTAGAAGAAAGGAAATTTAAATAACGAATTAAGTATACTCACGTGATTTTGACAGAGGCTGCACTTTGAAGCAAAAAATGGAATGAAGGTTTTTCTGTTCGCAGTATCCAGAAATTGCAACGCACGCAGCGAAGAATGTCAAATGCCAAACAAAGAGGAAGCAAGTAGCAGCGCCTGAAACAAAAATTTATTTAATATAAAAACAATGACATCAATATTTACAAATCCCGTACCCGAGTATATGCAGAATATCGTCACTGACGGAAACGGACTGAAAATTCCAATCCAGAAACTGAAGAAATCTGTCACGGAGGTGATGGTGATGGAAACAGCAGCCTCGCTCAACATTTGAGCCATCCTTTCGGGAACTGGGGTCTTGATTGATGTCCGCCTCCAAGCAGCTAACATCACAAAGGTGTCGTCGATTCCGATACCTTAAAACCATTTTTTTTTAATTTAGTTAAATTTCACTCGGATTTTTCGGGTTATTTTGGAAATTATGTACTCACCAATCATAAGAAACGGTGCAGCCAGATTTATACCAATGAAGTCAACTCCAGCATACATACAAAATCCAAAAGCGCAGAGGGTAGCCATAGCTGCACTGAGGTTTCCCAAAAGGCCCAACCATGGTTTCGATCTTACCCAGTCGAACATCATACAGGTCACTGGAAGTAAACTTAGCTTTAAATACCTAAGAAATTTGTGAGAGAGAAGACGTGACTTAAATTTAATTAAATTTTAAAGCCACAATCACTTTTCTATGATTTTATTTAATTTATGAAAATTTGAACTGTTTATCTGACTTTACACACTTACATATAGAAAATAACGCCATGATAGCGAATGTAGAAGTGAAGTACGGCATAACGGACTTGGTGTTCTTCTCTAATTCATGGTCCAAAGTTCTGGAAGCAAATCTGGCTATCCTGATGTGCCGGAATATATTCTTTTTATCTTGTATTTCTTCGATCAAATCCAAAAACGCATCTTCCCAAGCTGAACCCCTAAATAAAACAAAACGCAAATTATATGTAGTGTGTCCTTTTTCCCTGGCACGGAAACAATAAAGTGTAAGTGTAAGAATAGTCATTTCATACTAACATCTTTTCGACCTTCTTGCTGTCAGCGTTGGCAAAGTAAACTAGTTGGACGGATGGTACGCTTGTGATGATACCGTCCTCATTCCGTTCTGTGCCGCCGAAAAATACCGGGAAAGCATGGATGTCCCACGTGACAGGGTTGATCATGCCCGGGAAAGTCAGGTTTATTATTTTATTTTCCACCTTTAACAGAATTTTGAAATTATTAACTGTTTATTGTACAGAAACATGCAGGGTGTTTTAATATTTCTTGTACATAAAGCAACCAAAGCTTCCTCCGATCAAAATTAACAGATTTAAACAAAATTAGAGAGTATTGGTAAAAAAATGGTTTCTTCGAATAACTTTGAAATGCCTAGCAAGATTTTATTGAAAGGTACACCAATGCTTCCATATGGATGTCATGTTAAGACATACTAAACGAAGTAATTGGATTAACGGAATTATGAAAAATAATTGGACTAATCTGCTCATAATTTTGTTGGGGTTATGCTATTTAGCTTCCATTTTTTTTGTCTTAAAGTTGAAGGGTTTGTTAAACATTTTTCCTCTTGGAAAATTTTTATATTTGTAACAGTATTGGGTTAATTAATAATTTTTATTAGGTCGTTAGTAATGCATTTTCGATTCAAACTTGATATAGTTACGTCATTTCAAAAGTATTTAATAACAGAAATAAAATAACTTGTAATAGAATGTTCTCTAATGTGAACTGTTCAATATCAGTATCGTTTTCTATAATTCTCAAATCAATTATATGCACTCTTCTCGCTATTCCATTTTGCAAATTGTGCATCTTCATTCCTGGCCCACAGTAGTCCCTCATTCTCAATACTGTTTTAAAGTCCCCTAAATAAAAAAATCATAGGTATTTGAGTCATGTGAACGTGGTGGCCAGTGAATTGGAGTCTGGAGTCTGACTATGTGTATCATATGTTTTCGGGGTCGCTAAATCCAAATTCGGGAAATTGGCTGGTCAATGGATAGAGGATTTATTGCGTTTTGGACCTATTTTTTGAGGTTATGAAAAATCTTGACGTGATGGGGTTAAATGGACCCCGAATTGGGATTCAGCGACCCCGAAAACATATGATAGACATAGTCAGACTCCAGGGGTAATTTTCTCAATTTTTTTTGTGGAGCTGTGAATAGAATCAAATAGTAAGTTACTGGTAAAACAAAATTCACGTTGAATTTCATAACGATATGAATTTTCATCTATATTGGCGAAACGAGAGGCAGGATCAAGAGGTAGAAATTGTTGAAATGGGTGAATATGGAAAGGATGAATTAGATACTCTGTTCACCACTTTTGGAAACTATATAGTTTGCTTCTGTTAATCTGACACAGGTTGCCGGGTTTTTCCACCATCTCCAGATTTTTTTTTTCACAAGTTCGAGCTTGAAACCAATTTCTCGAAAATGTCTTTCAATATATTTGAAAGTTTAATGAGTAGAAATTGGACGATTCGGATATCTTTAACGATACATATACGACAGTCTCTCATTCAACTGAGATTTTCAGTAAAACGATACACTATATCGATTTTCAACAACAAGTATACCTTTTTTATGTAAAATTGTCCACGGAATCCAAAAATGATGAAATCCCAAATGATTATTAGGTCATTGGCGTAGAAGTTGGGGAAAAATATCCCTCTTTATTACTACCCATTCCTACGCCACTGACCTACAAAAATGTGTAAATAATGCACATGTGTAAATGTTAACACTACACCAAAGTTTGATTCACTCGAACTGAAACAGACGCTATAGCATGGTCTCCGACAATCAGGGGACTCGATATTTTTCATAATTCTAATAATCCAATTATGTACTTCGTTTACTATGACATAAAGTGATATCTATAAGGAAGTATTAGTGTAGCAAACTTCAATAAAATGTTATAAGACTTTTCAAAGTTATTTGAAAAGAATAATTTGTTCGTCGACTTTGATGACCCCCTAGCAACAAAACGAAGCAACTTAGAGCAGAGGTATGTTTACTTAAATCTGCGTATTTTGATAGTAGAAAACTGTGGCAGATCCACGTACACGGAATAATGGTACATCCTGTATATTGTTTTGTTCCTCTCGCCCGAGATCTCAAGTTTTACAAAGTGTCAAAAATAAGGTCAGTAATTTTAAGGGAAGATAGGGAAAAATGAACACGCGATTAAAAAAATTTTAAATGCATAATTACGCTTGAAAAAAAAATTTCAAAATCATTATTTACCCCCATTTTCGGACCGCTCCTGACCTACCGTATTATTCGGTCACTAACATACCTTTAATACCTGTTCTTACGGTTTCCACTGTTTTATAATTGAATGAGGTTTATTATTAGGTATGTTCAAGTAGGTAATTATTCAGTTTGTAGTACGTATACTTTATTGTGTAACTTATTAAATTTCAAAGTTGTATAGTACCTATTTATTTAAAATGATACACGGAACGACGACTAGGAAATCAGCTGATTCGCTACAACGTCCGATTGCTGTGTACTCTGCTGTCCTGCGCGACGCGTTCCCTATTACGAGTTAATGGAAGTTAAGGGGTAATTTGCTTATTTTTTAAAAGGTCGAGAAAAAATTTTTTTTTCGATTTTCTCTTTTTATTAGGCCTTCCGAATATGTGATTAAAATTAATGACATCGTGGCTGAAACACGCTGTATACAATCGCACCATTACAATTACAAAAATTGATCTGCTACGAGTATCTAACAAATTTAAACTAAGTATTTTGGTTCATGAAACAAAGCAGTCTTTTCATTTAACTTATTTAGGCCAGAAGGAAATCGCCAATGATGTTATTAGAAACCTTTATAATACTTCCTCCTGTTTTATAACAAGAGAATCTAACTCTCCACCTACGTAATTCTGGTAATAATGTAGCATAATGACATTAAATGAGCAAATAACTATGCTAGGTTACGATTATTACGGTGAAAGTAACTAGAAAGAAACAGATTTCGTGTATCGTTGCAGCCTGTATCTGACAAATCTAAGCCAGAAGCACATAAACACATTTGTCGTATGGTTAATTCAAAATATAGAGAGACTAAGAAAAAGGGACTCTTGTTTATAATCAATAAAATAAACCGTTTACGAGAAAAAGAATAATAAACAAATTTATATTTTATTTTTAATAAAAAGGGCCATGATTTCTATTTTTTTTTTCTAGACAACAAAGGGCGATATGAAAGTCATTGAAACAACAGAACAACAGAAGTTTCATGTTTAATCCGAAAAAATATAAAATAAAAAAACGCAGTGGTTGTCCCAGGAGGTACCTTAACGAAATTATTGAAAAACTTCATATGAGGGTGCAACATGGGCTCCGTGAAGTCTGATACACGCGCGGACATGACGAATTGAGGACTGCTGTACCCGCCACAATAACCCAGCATTGTTCTTTATCAATCACATCAAAATGAAACGTGATTATCTGTAGAAGTTCCTCCCTAGTGTCGACCGGAGTGGAATACTCCAATTGTTTGAGGTGTCCCCACAGGTAAAAATCCAGGGGCATTAGATCAGTAGATCGAGGAAACCAGGCAATAGGTCCTCCTCTACCTATATCCAACGGTTTGGATAGATGTTATTCAGGCATACCAACGCTGAAGTGAGGTGGTGCCCCATCGTGCATGAACTACATGTTTCGGCGGGATTCAATTGGTAAGTATTCTTTTAAATCTTGAAAAGCGTTGTGAAGGAACTCCAAATAAAATTGTCAATCGTTGCGGCAATACGAATGGTCCAATAAAAAAAAATTCCAATTATTCCTGCCCAGATGTTAATTGATTGGAACTGATGTTGATGATGCGAAACAATAGTGGCATGAAGATTTTCATCAGTCCGTACATATGTGTTGTGTAAATTGATGATACCATTTTTTGTAAACCATGCTTCATCCGTGAAAAGAATAGTGCTAATGAAGTTTACATTATTTCGTTGCTGATTCAATAGCCAGTTTACAAACTGCATTCTACATGGAAAATCTTCAGGAATCAGTTCATGTATTTTTTGCAAATAGTATGGATATTACAGCTGTTTTTGAAGAACTTCATGTCGTTTTCAATGTATTAAACTGTGTTGATATTTTTCGAGTGCTCGTTGATGGAGTGCCTTCTACAGCAATTAAAATATTTTCCTCTATTTGCGGAATACGTACGATTCTTCTCAGAGAAGCATCAGTAATATTTTTTCCAAATTTTCCTACAAATATGAAGAAAGTCAATAATATGTATTACCTTATTAACTGGAATCGATCATTATTCTCCCTTAGACCTTGGTCAACTCGTTCAAATGTCTTCTGGTTTGGCAGAGCACGATTAGAACATCTGTCGTGATTTAACCTTCTGGCTGTAAAGCATTGCAAGACGCAAGATCATACATGAGATGCATATCTGCATACTCAATAAACGTGTATTCCTTATTTCGAATTAATTCACAATTGAATTCACCACGAAATCCAAAACACGGTAAATCAATAACGAAGTAAAGGATCAATGTGTCAGCGATATCACTTTGTTGTCGAGAAAAAAAAATAGAAATCATGACCCTTTTTATTAAAAATAAAACCTGAATTTGTGTATTATTCTTTTCCTCGAAAACGGTTCATTTTATCGACAATAAACAAGAGTACCTTTTTTTAGTCTAAGGTTGAAGCTACCCAGATTTATTATTTTAAAGTCTTTATCACACAGGGTGTTAAAAATTTAGGCATTGGGTTGTAAAGCTTAGACCACCCTTGGTAAACTAAAAAAGCTAAATATGTTTCAAGGACACTATTGTAAGAGGTCCTTATTAGAGTCCCTCACATAAAATTTTTATTTAATTATATTAAGTACTTTAAAAGTTATTCAAGAAAAACCGATTTCCAGCGGCGTCCGTAGGAAGGGCCTGTACGAAGAAATTTTATAGGAACTTGTCATCTTATTTTTTCATATTCTATCTGCACCCGAGAGATTTCCCACATTTTCCCGTACACCCTGTAGATAAACTTATTTGAAATAAATTAGTCCCTTCTATAATTCTTGTAATAGTTTTTGAGAAGAAAAATAAAATAGGCTACAGTGCACACGAGACTTCGTAAACTAGTCTTTATTACAAAATAAAAACATTGAAATTAACGGAAATAAATTTAAAGAAACTGTAGTTATAAACTTCATCATAAATGTTATAAATGATCATAACACATAACTCCATACGTCGAAACGTTGACGCTCGTTAAAACAAGCGGGAGCCCCATCGTGCCACAAAACGAACTTCGACACCTAGAAATGCACCTTCAAGAATTAGGTACTGGAAATAATTCTTCGAGAAAGAGAATGTTTGTATTTCTATTCAATCTAGGTAGCGAAATTGTGAAGCAATTAAGAATTCCAAACCACACATTCAGAGAAAACTGTAATTGATGATGTTAATAATTTTCGAAAGATTTAGTTTCACATAGCCATCATGGAGGCGCGCAAAGAACGATGAGGAGTAGTGCAGATAGTTCATAAATGTTTACAAGCCACGAAAAATCCCCAAATATTGGCGTCATCAGTATTAATGATTCCTTTACAACAAACAGTAACAAACCGTTTCATTTTCAACTTCAAAAAAAAAAACAACACACAATCTGCTTTACAGAAATCTTACATTTACAATTAATTTAATTAAGCTCAAATCCCATGCGACAGCTGTTTTTGCGTAAAGAGAAAGGCAACCTTCATTCAAATATTTAAAAAAAGTTCATTTGATTCAAATCTAAAACTGATATTACCTCAATAAAGTAAGTGACGTGTGAACGACATAATTTAACATGGTTGTTTTAAGTTCTAACGAACCATTAACAGAAAACGTGCTTGAAATGAATCAACTTATATCACTTAAATTGCCATAGGTGTAGTTTAGGCTATCAATAGGTAGTAATTCACACTTTCGACTAATTTAATATTGATTAGCAAAATAAAATTGTGGGAAATGAGCAATTTATCTCGAAAACGTGTATATTGCCTAGATAGATATGAATTCTTTGTGAAACTGAAATAAACAGCAACAATTAGAAGTAGCTTAATACACGTGGCGAAAACAGATAAGCAAATATATATACTGTTTTATCATTCACTTTTTATTGATAATTTTTAAATAATTAAGTGAATCTTCTCTCGTCTCAGACTTTTATGAAGAACATCATCATGATTTCCTAGAATATATAACGAGGTGCTATATTCAGGTTCAATCCCCATGTTTTCATAGCTAACTTGATTACCTTATCAGCACCATACTGAATGTTATTAAAAGTCAAAAACGTCAATTTCATAATCAATTTAAGTTGATCACAATTATGAAAAACAAATAATAAAAATTTCCAAGAAAATAGTGGCAATTATGATGGGCCACCCAGTATACCTTAAAAGTGGTCACCCTGTATATTCAGCCTATTTAAAACAGAAAGCGATAGCTATCACTGGCATCCTTTGGATCTTCACTGACCTTCTTCATTAAATTCACTTTGACACACTGTACTACAACATTAAGAATTCTGAGTAAGTGAGCTATTGTCTTTTAACTTATAATTAGTTAATCCTTGACCTACAGTGTAGGATTCTGTACGAGACATTATAACGACGTGAGTAAAAGCTGAAGAAAGGGTTTTGTTGTACCATTTTGTTTAATTATTATTTTGTGCTTAATCGTAATCACCTACTTAAAAGTATTCAATACAGATGCCGAATATCAAATGGTCGAATTAAAATAACTTCCCGTTATTTTATGAAAACTTTTACTTACATCTTCCATAATGTAGTCCAAGTTGAGTATGTCATTTTGGAAGCACTCGGTCAACCACTTGGCGCAGATGTCTTGATATGTGAAGTACTGGTCGTCGAAGTACACAGTCATATTTTGAATGAGTTCATCAAGCAGCCTAAGTTCTTGCCAAACTGCTACCCGCAACATATTCTTGTCACCATCCTTTGACGTGAGGATAACACGACCAAATCGACCTGGAAAAGAAGCAAACCGTTTAGAAAAAATATACGGCTTGGTCTAGAGCAGTGGTTCCCAACCTTTGAGTGATGACTGACCGCTAAAACAAAATTTGGCTATTCAGGGACCATATGCGAGCTAAGTTTAATTGAGACTTTCCTTTCAAATATATTAAAATGTCTTAAACTATTTGGAACACGTGATTCTTCATATTTCGGCTTATTTTTGAGTCGTCTTACTTATGACTGTGTATGTGTTTGTATGAGTAAAGGCATACTTAGTAAAACTAATCGTTATTTATTTTCCATGCAAATCTTACATTGCGTCTCAATCGACGCTCCAGCTTATTTGATACTAATTAGCTGTACTTAGCCTCGCGGACCACCGATTAGGAACCACTGGTTTAGAGGTTGTAGTCTGAAATATAAACCATTTTATCTACAGCATGTTTTTCTAAGTCTATATTAAAATTTGTTGACTGATGTAGATAAATGAAAACAATAATAATTTACGTATAATGAAAGGCGCTTACAAATATTTCAACTAGCGGTACGTTCATAGATTTAAGAAAATATCTTAAAACATTATAAAACAAGCAAGGAGTTTAAATTTTATTTCAACAAAATGTTTATATTTAGTTTTATATTGAGATGTGCGTACGTTTTGAATTAAAAAATGAAATTATATTAGATCTATCATTTCATAATCCAAAAACAATTACTTTAGAGACAATTGCAGCAATACGCAATTGAAAGTGAAGATACATAATAAAATGCACTTACAATAATAAATAATTTTAATAAAATAATTTTGGGTCGAATTAAATCTTCATAGCTTCCATCTAGTATTTTGAGTCACAGAATCTTTTCTTTTTTTTTCATTTATTAATTTAGGTGTTTCAGTTTCATAAGTGCGTATAAGTTACAATAGAATTTGTTTTAAAAAAGGTTGTTTTACGTTTTCATTTATTATTTAGTCTAAAATGATCCTAGAACAAAGTTACGACATGGGCTTAGGAAACGCCCTATATACCATAATCCTTAAACTAATAAAAATAAATCAAGAGAAAGTTTGAAAATTAATAAATTGTGGATCGTTAATTTTTCTATTCCAAGAACGCGAATTTAATTTTACTAATTAAAATTTTCACCAGTTACAACTATAATCGAGGAAAAGTGAACATTTCACATGAGAAATGTTAAATAGTTTAAATATTGAATTTTTGAATTGTCAACTCAAATTCAAATTGTCAGTTGTCAAATTTGAATATTTAATTGAATTGTATTTGAATTAGAATTTTTTAAATTGTATCATTCTATGCCAAAAGAATGAGGTCCTTACCAATTCATTTTTTCCTATTTTTCTTAATTATTTTAGTATCCATTTAGAGTATATTTCATGAATTATTTCAAATTTTTATTTCAACCCTTCTAGAAGTTATGAGCATTTGAAAATTTTGTAACTGTAAATTATCTTGGCAAAAACTAAAGACATCATAAACGGTTTTTTTTCATTTTGTTCGTTTTGGGATGTAATGATATAAAAAATATATAAAAATAAATCAAAAAGCACTTTTTTAGTTTAAAAATCAAAAGGAATTAAAAAAACTAAAAATGTATTATTTTTATATCTACATGTCAAAACTACCAAATTGAAAAAAAATATTGATAGCTTTAGTGTTTGCAAAGTTACAGGTATTTACCGGAAATATTCAAATGTTCATAACTTTTTGAGAGGTTGAAATAAAAATTTGAAAAAATTAATAAAAGTTACTAATGGGTACTAAAAAATAATACCAAAAATTCAGGAGAATTAAAAATGGTCGGGTCACCACCTCAGTAATTTAATAAAAATTTGATGTAACATATTTAATAGCACACTAGCAGATATCTATTTGTTGTAATTTTGTACTATTTACTGTTTTTCTTACAATTATTTTGATATCGTTACTACTACTACTATTTTTTGTTTTTTTTTTTGTTCATATAATTATCTATGTATTTTATGTATCCTATGAAAAAGTTTTATTAAAATTAATTTAACCGTGTAGTTTTTGTATTCAAAGCTCCTCCTTACAGCTTTTAAAATAAGAAGAAAACTGAAAGCAACGTGTTCTCATGCTTCAGGTGCCACAGTTTCTAGATAGGTCACTAGTTCGACAAGAGTTCACTAGCATATCTAATAATTTCCCATAATTACATTTACACAATCCCGTCTTCATTAATTGAAATAAATATATATGCAAATGTCCATCCATATCAACATATTCTCCACACTTGAGTGATGTCAGTAATGGAGATATTTGTAAACTTTCTACGAGTTCTAATAATGTAACAATATGACGTAATTTTTTGCGGTTACAATGTTCTGTTCGGAGTACCACTGTAATGCTGTCCATTGCGAAATTTGTAGCGTTAATATTGGAAATACTATCATTTTTCTAAATAAGAATTTGAATTTATAATAAGTTGTCGAGCTTCCGGTTGCATGTTCGTCGTAATTCAAGAATAAATTCAATATTATACGCGATATCAATGTTGTAATGAGTGTACTATACATGCGACGAACAAAATTATGACCTACTCACTTTAATAGAACTGCAAAACTAAACTGGGTATTACAGATTAAAAAAACGGCAATTGTTTCAGTCACTTTGACAATGTGACAGTTAATTGTTTTGAATTGTTACGTGACCACTGGCCTGGTTGGAAAATTTAAAAACATGTAAGCAATTTTAAAAATTTGATGGTCGTCATAGACTGAAATTTGTTTAACAGTATTTCTACTCACATGCCGTGAATATTTCGATGGGCAGAGAGCTGTAGAATGTGTTTCTCTCAATATTATATTCTCAATAACAGGTCGCTATTTTTTTCGTCCAGTGTACGTATGTGCATTAAAGTGTGCAACTAGTACATAATTATATTTGTATAATTAGTAATTGCGCTTATCTATTTGAAAGATTTTATAATAACCATATGCTTAGCGGTTACGGTTACATTTAATCTTGTTAAAATAATTTAATCGACCTAATTTCTGGATCAGTGCTCCACATAGAAAAATTGCTGTGTAGCTGGTGAGTGTAAATTTCTTTAATGACCTAATTTTTTATAACTGCACTTTGATAGATACAAAAAAACAACAGATGAGTTGAGGATAAAAGTCTACAGGCGCAAGAACATCGTGTACCTCTGGTAGTTAAAAAAATACCATCGTTACATTTAGTTATATTAAAAAAAAATAATGAATTGAAAGTGGAAAAAGTTTGACGACCTCATTTTCATATGTTTTCTTACTGATATAAAATAGCAACTTGTTGAATCGTTTAAGATATGGTAACATCAGTCAACAACTGTTCTATGAAAAAAAACTCTTCTTCAAATGAATTGCAATTTTGTTAAATTATGCATTATGCTAAACAACAAAAACCAATTCTTCATTAGATTTTTATAGTAAACACATAACCTCTAAGTATTAAATTTGAAGAAACAAATACGTATTCGAGTTGATACAAATATGTTTTAAATAAACCTTTCCCGCTAGTTCAGACTGATTTTCATTTGTTTACAGTAAACCGCAACGCTTGTCTCAGAAATCATATAAAGAATTGAGCACTAAGATTATAAGCTATAATATGTTTAGAAATAAAAGAGAGTAATAAAAGCTTATTATGTATGCAAATCGTAAATAAATGTAGTACTGGTGCTTATATTCAATATTTTTATATTATGTATTATCGGGTATAGGATGAGGTGTACTTTTAAAAAAACTTTGTGTGATCGGACTGTACTAAATTGTAGCATGTAGCTAAAATTTAATCCCCGACAATCCGTCTTTGTCTATGCCGCTTCAATTTCTCGGTCCATTTCTCTTATAAGTAAACAATATAAAAACAGCATTTCAAAACATGAGGCTACTTTAAGCATCATAACCGGGTTAAGAGGGTTTTTAGTAATTCAAATAAAATTATTCAATATTATTATCAAAATATTTATTTAAATTTAATGAATAGACTTTTATTCCACACAAAAATATATGTATTTTGAAAATTCAAATTATGGTGAGTAAATGTAGTGTTGTATAAATGTACAATAAAGAAAATAAAAAAGTAGGTATATTAAAATTCATCCTCTGAATATTCTGATGAATTATCTTCGTCTCCTAGATTGATAACGATAGGTTCCACAGTAACGTCAATTAAATTATCGAGTTCCCACATTTTCTCCTCTTCTTTTTGTACATGATGTATACATCTTTGCCAGTTATCTGCAGTTACTCGTTCCAAGGAATTTTTTAACAAAATTTTCACGTCACTTAATTTAAACGTCGTATTATTTCGCGCTACATCTCCTTTTACCTGCGCCCAGACTAATTCGATTGGGTTAAGTTCACAGTGATAAGGTGGTAACCGTAGTACCGTTATTTGGCGATTTGTTGCCATTTCATCGATAACATATTTTTTCTGATCTTTATTAAGATTGACAAGTGTCAAAAGTTCCTTTTTCACCATATTTGTTTCAAAAGAAATGTTTTTTCCGGATAACCATTGAATTATATCGGCTTTCCTCCAAGCAGTCGTAGGCGTCCGCTCGGTCTGCCGTGAATGGTAACTGGCATTATCCATGACAATTACAGACCCCGGAGGAATAAGATCCAACATCTGTGTAAAATACTCTTCGAAAACATCTGCGTTCATGTCTTCGTGATAGTCACCTGTATTTTTAGATTCAAATAAAAGTAAACCGCCATCTACAAAACCACTGGCACTACCTATATGTGTCACTATTAATCTTCGCCCTTTACCTGAAGGTGCCTTGAACCCTGTTGAAAGTCCATCCAAAAATGCTTGTCGAAAACTTTTTACATTTTTATCTTGCCATACTTTTGTTACAGTATATCCCTCGTTGACCCAAGTTTCGTCTAGATAATAAATATTCCTCCCTTCGTCACGGAATTTTCTAATTGATCTTAAGTAGGATCTTCGCCAACAAATAATTTCATCTTTATCGATAAGAAC